TCTCTCTCTCTCTGCCCCTTGCTCACTTGTGCCCTCTCTCTCTCAAAAAAAAAAAAAAAAAAAAGCCTAATTAATTAATTAATTACAGGCCAGAGGTTGAACATTTAAGGAGTGAAGAATCCCAATCTCTGGGGCACCTGGGTGGCTCAGCTGGTTAAGCGTCTGGCTTCGGCTGAGGTCATGATCTCAAAGTTTGTGGGTTCAAACCCCACGTCGGGCTCTGCGTTGATAGTGCAGAGCTTGCTTGAGATTCTCTCTCTCTCTCTCTCTCTCTCTCTCTCTCTCTGCCCCTCCCTGACCTGTGCGTGCTCTCTCTCTCTCTGAAAATAGATGAATAAACTGAAAAAATAAAAAAAGACCACAGAACGAAGAAGTTCACAGAGACAAGGCAGGCAGGCAAAAAACTGTATCATTAATATCTGCAGAGATTCAAAACATGTATTGTAATCATGAAACCAAATAGGATACTGTTTTTTAATGAGGAGCATCTGAGGACAAAAACAGAATTCACATGAAAAACATGGGAGCAGAAATTAAAAACCAACAGAAAGGTTGGAAGTTCAAGTTGAATAAAAAGTCAGAGATGGAAAATAGGTTAGAAGAGATAAGAAGACTAGAGGCTCAGCCCAGGAGACTCGCTATCTGAGTAATTGTGGAGTCCAGAGAAAACAGAAAGGAGGAAAATAAAAATAAGAATTCCAGGTTTCCCCGTCATGCAGGACATGTGGTGCCAGATGGAAAGCATCCATGCCACCAACTGCCTGGTACAACAGGCGAAAACAGACCCACCTAACTTCCGTAATAGTGACAATGCCAGAACATTGGGAACCAAAACGAAGACCCTGAAGGTTTCAAGAGAAAAAAAAAAAAAATAGGTTACAGTTACTTTTCTCATAACAACACGAGGAAGGATGAAGCAATGCTTTCAAATTCTGAAGGAGAAATGTTTTCCAAGCCACAATTCCGTGTCCGGCAGAACCGTCAGTTGAGTCTAAATGAAGAACAGACCATTTGAGGTGTCGAGTGCCTGTGCATCCTTCCCCAGGGAGCCCCTGTGGCCGGGCACTAATGAGAGCTTATCAACAAGGGAGGGAGACACGGGATGCAGAGAACGGGAGCCGACCACGGGGTGTGTAAAGGGGACCAGGCGCTGGTGGAGAGCGAGCGGGGCGGTGCGTGTGCACCGGGCATGGCTGCTCAGAAGCTCCAGGCGTGGAAGGGGTTGGAATCCCTGAGCACCTGAGCATTTGCAGGGGCTTAGAATAATAGTAGCATTGGGGGTGCCTGAGTGGCTCCGTTGGCTTAAGTGTCCGACTCTTGATCTCAGCTCAGATCTTGATCTCAGGGCTGTAGGTTCAAGCCCTGTGTTAGGCTCCATGCTGGGCATGGAGCCTACTTGAAAAAAGAGAAGAGAGAAGAGAGAAGAGAGAAGAGAGAAAAGGGAAGGGAAGGAAAGAAAATGGCAGTGTTTAGGGTGAATTACTAAAGTACATGGAAAACTAAAACCAAAAAAAAAAAAAAAAAAACAAAACACAAAACAACAAAAAAACCTCGAGAAAACAAAACCAAAAAAACTTGTACAGAAAAAAAAAAAAGGAATCTTTTTTAAGTATACAGCTTAATTTTTAAGAGCAGCATCTACACAGTCACGATAATGTAAACACTGAATATTGTGCTAAACAAAATCCAACGTAATTATTTCGGGAGGCTGGGGCACGAAAGGAGTTTGGGGGTGGTAAGAAGTCAAAACATAATTTCTTTTTTTATGTTTATTTTTGAAAGCTAGAGCACGAGCGAGCGCGGGGCAGGGTGGGGGGTGGGCAGAGGATCTGAAGCAGGCTCAGTGCTGACAGCAGAGAGCCCAGTGCAGGGCCAGAACCCAATAAATGTGAGATCGTGACCTGAGCTGAAGTCGGGCTCATAACTGACTGAGCCAACCAGGCACCCCAAAACATAATTTTTAAATTTTATTTTTGAGTAATCTCTACACCCAACGTGAGGCTTGAACTCACAACCCTGGGACTAAAACACACATGTTCCACCGACTTAGCCAGCCAGGTGCCCCGAAACATAATTTCAGTAACTGAAAAGCAAGAAGTGGCATTAGAGGTTTATCATTTAGAGACATCGAGGTAAACACTCCACCCACCCCAAACCACCGAAAGTTGGAAGTGGCTGCCTCAGGACAGGGAAAAAGCAGAGGGAAGGAAGGGATGGCAAACAGACTTGTAGAACCATTTGACTTGATGACAAAACTGCCGTCCTGCCCCATCCACCTGCTCTTCACCAAGTCCCCACACCCTTCAGCCCAGCCCTGCCTGCCAGCCTTACACACACCTGTCTCCACAGGCTGCTCCTGGGTGACTTTCCCCTTACCTTCTGTGTTCCGGTGGCAATGTCTTGCCTACTTATGTGAAAGCACCGTGGTCTTGAATTGGATTTTAAAAACCAAAGACGCATGATGTAATGTACCTTACAACTATTTTGAGTCCTTGTGCAAAGCCACATTCCTGAAGATACCTGCCAGGCGATTTATGTACAGAAATGGTTTGCATTTTTGCACGGGTGAGCTACAGCTCTTTTGAAAATTGACACACCACTTAAACAGGTCATTTGATACGTTTAACCCTCTCCTGTTTCATGTGAATAATGTTGGCATTAAACCTTGACATGTTTCTAACGGGTTTCTCTTCAAACCTGTAATCCCTTATTTTCACATAGGAGTCAGTTACTCGCTTTAGAAACATACACACATAGACACAAGTTTATGCCATTTCCTAGATGGATTGTATCATGGATTAGTTTGTTTGGGTTTTTTAAATGGCTTCTTAGACAAGCAGAAAGTATAAAACGTTTTTTAAAGGTGAAGAATGTTCCCATTCAAAAGTTCTTGCATTCTTAAACTGACCTAACCTGGTAAATGTAGAACGTCTCACAACAGGCTTTTCTGAACACTAATGAATAGAAATCACAGCAGAAATTCTACAAACACATAATGAGAGCCTAAGAAAATGATTTCAAGGAAAATCTCTCCTAAAAAAAACACCACTCTGTTCCTAAGGATTAGGGAGATCATTGTCTGGAATTTCCCACAGCCACCTTCCATCCTCTTTTTCCAACAAAATTTTCCAGCAGATTTCCCAAACAAAATTCAAGGCAGCTCTCTGCCTTCTCTGACCCAAATAACTGGCTCCTTCTTCTCGCCAGAGTCCGCTCTCTTTGCTCACCATACGAGTCATTCTACTTTAAGACAGATAACTTCTTTTTAGAGACTTTCAGTTGCTGCTGGCCGTTCTTAAAGGACCTAAAACCTAAAATATCAAGTTTGGGGGGGCAGATGGTGGAGAATGGTCAATAACTGGTTTTTCAGCATCACTTTTGTCAACGGCAACATTTTCTAAAAAATTTCACATGGCCACGTTGTGTTTACATTTCAATCTTAGCAAAAGTACCAAAGATGAAACACTTCTCAAAGCAACTCATGAAAATTCACCTAAAAGAAGATAAAACGGGGGGAATTTTTGTTTTTTCCTCAGAAAGCTCAGTTCAGAAGTAAAGTGCCACCAAATAGCAATACTTTAATAAAACTCCTATTCAAGATAAGCTCAAGTACTGGATATTTCATAAATCTATCAGTTTAGAAGGGCTCTGGGGTATCTGACATGTTAATGTACTAAAGCTACCTGCAAACAAAAGTCAGCATCATAAAAGGAATGAAATAGACCTCTGTCTGCGTAGACAGGGAAAGAGCTCTCTGGAGGGTAGGGGAATTACAGAATACCACAGTATGTTACCACTTATGCAAAAGGGGAAGAGACTCCCTGACATGTATGTGCAGATAGGTTTATGTATGTAAATACATTTTAAAAAATCTAGGCAGCTACATCCGCAAATATTAACACGGTAATGGGGCGCCTGGGTGGCCCAGTCATTTGAGTGTCTTGACTCTTGATTTCAGCTCAAGTCATGAGCCCAGGGGCATGGGATTGAGCCCCGTGTTGGGCTTTGTGCTGAGTGTGGAGCCTGCTCAGGACTCTCTCGCCCTCTAAAAATAAAAATAAATAAATAGAGCAGGTAGCTCCAGGGAGCTAGGTGGGATTAGAGGGTGAAGGGTAACCAGATCCTTACATTTAGATATTTACATATTATTTACATTTCTTCACAATGGAGCATTCACACGTTAGTTGAGAAATTAAGTAAATGCACTGTGTCTAGGTAGATGGACAAAGTCGTCCTGTATATTCAGTTCATTCTCTAACTTACCATTTGAGCAACTTCTGGGATGCTAACAAGATATTTTGATTATACTCTTAAAAAAAAAAAAAAAAAAAAGGACATTTCCAGTACATGTGCAAGAAGAGACCAGGCTGGGGAGGGGGGCGGGAGAGCTGGCTTTACCAGCCTGTTGTCTAGACTGCTGAGCTACTCTTCACTCGAAGTCAGCCTGTGATGATCTGGAAGCAAACTATCCAGGATTTTCTTCACCACCACTCAGCTGGGCTCCAGGCAACCACTGTCAGTCCAAGTCCTAGGGCTGACGCTCCCCCCTTGGGAAGAAAACACGCTCTGGTTGCACTTGGTTATTAACCCCACTTCTTTCTCTGTTCTTTGGAGAACCAAACATTTTCATTATTCTATTTTTAGTCTGTGTAACTCGTGGCTCCACAAAACCTACGGTTAAAGTATCTCAACTTCTTAGTACAGCAAGCATAACCCCTTGCGTCAAAGCAAAGGATACAAATGGGGCGGTATTTGCGAGTAAGCAGACTGTGGGGAGTTGGCTTCAGTCTTGCAGTGGCTGTGGAGACCCGTGCAGGAGAGAAAACAGCATCTTAAAGCATCTCCCACTCCATGACTGGCATTACAAAGGCTGGAAGCCCACAGAAATGCTATCTATGTACAGAAGAATCTTTCATTGGTCTAAACAGGGTCGTCTTTAGAATTACAAGATAATTTTTTTAATAGCCATTCAAGTCTTACATAAAGGCTCATACCAGAGGTTTTGAAGATAAATGAAAGCACAAAGCCTTTATTGAATTGCAGATTATGAATAATAAGCCCAATGGTAAGCACTGGGGGCAGATGTGCGTAGAAATGCAATTTATAAAATTTTCGAGGCAAACAATTGATGTCTTTGAAGAAATCGTCGTGAGCTTTAAAAAAAAAAAAAAAAAAAAAAAGCAAAAAGCGAGCTTCCAGGTGTGCAATTCATTCATAGTATTGGTAACTGGTGCCCAGTGATAATGACCTCAGGAAATGTCGAGATTTCATAAACCATTTGTATCAAATCTCTTTTTCTGGTAAATTCCTTAGTGCCTCTGCAGCGGTAACTAGACAAGAGTGGAAAGCTTTCAAGATGACTCAAACCTCCAGCACCTCACAGGAGTCCACATTTCTTAACACAGAAGGCAATGCTGATCAAGGGAGGAAATAAACGAAAAGGTTATTAAAAACAAACACTGGTGGGCCAAACTTCTAAATATATACATCTATGTATATTTCACTAAAAGATGTTTATCCCCATAGCCCTTCACGTTTTATATCCAGAAACTATACTTTTACCACACTGTGCAATAAGACAGTGCTTTTTAGTGGTGAGTGCAGTGAACACTTTGATACTCTTGTAATAAGTCTTTGGAATATTTTAGGATTATAGGACTTTCAAGAGACTCTTTTTTAAAAAGTGACTCCTTAAAATTTAAATATGTAAAAACCAGAGCAGGAGCTTCCATTTTGGAGATTTCAGTTTAGGGACAAAGAGACAGGTTATGACAGACTGCAACCAAATATAAAAGGTAATCACAAAATGATTTAGGCAACAGCCACGAACTGCACAGTACCCAAGTTGAAAGGGGAGATAAATTTCAACTCAAAGAATCTGGCTGATAACCAATAAATAATTTCATTCTCTTTGGAAGGTACAGGTCACTAATCCATGAGAGACAGCTTCACCAAATCACTGGCTTCGATAGTTTCTCCTAGGCCTCTGTCTCCCCTCCCCACCCACCACACGATTCTGCTAATGCCCAGCTTGTGAGACTTCACAAGCTCTCATTATTACAGCATCTTGAAGGTAAAACAACACTCCTAACAAATTTATCCAGACTGTTTTCTTAGCGGAGACCTGGCCTGTAATCAGGCCACATGGAAACTGCTGCTTTGACCAGGAGTCAAGGCCGTGTAGAACCACAGAGACTTATGTTAGAATGCAAAAATAAAGATGATGTGCAAATACCAACAAATACTTTCGCTGAAAATACACAAATTAAGAGACTGTTTGTTATTGTCTGTTCTTAGCGATACGGCTAACATTTCTCTCAGCAAATCCTGGAGATTCCTCAAGTTCATAACCACCAAAGGGGATGTGCTATCTCCATCTGTCCGGTTCAGTCTCTTCTACGGTGTTCCCTCCTTCTGGCTAGTAGACTGTGGACTAGGTTACACTTAATAGGGCATACACTTAAGTAGAAAATGTAAAGGCCAAATACTTAAAATCAAAACCCTGCCTAAGAGTAAAACAAACATTAGCAGTGTATTAACTGAAAAACTGCCCTTAAGTAAATATTTAATTCTGGATGTCAAATACATCCACAGAGTTTATATAAAGCAATTCTTCTGCTTAATTCTGTCAACATTCAATTTATACAGATATTTAGGTCATTATCTTTGATGAAAAAAAAAAAAAAGGTGCTCAAGGCATAAAGTTAAAACAGCTCACAAGAAGACGGTAAAGAACAAGGCTTCTGGGTCACATCAAGTTTCCGAGCCATGCAAATAACTTCCACGGTCAACTCGGACTAGTTTCTCAGTTATGTTAAATATCAAGTAGCATATTAAAATTTGTTCTTTTAATGTTCATTCCACCCATAAATATTTTGATAAAATAGAGTCTTGAGGTTCAGAAGCTGAGGCAAGATACAGACATCACTTCCAAGAACTGCTTTTACACATCTTTGTTCCCACTGTGATGCTGCACCATTCTCTAAATACATCACTAGATGAATTAGGTCACTGATGAAAATTAGGATAAAGAGTAACTATTAAATATAACTTCCTACTCAATTAAGTTCAATAGAGCCATTTATGGAATATTTTCCTCACAAAATACTTGATGAGACTGTTACTCTCCACTAACCGAAGTCATTTAAATGGGCTCAGAGAGCAAGAACTGATGGCTAAGAATAAACTCTTCTAATCATTAATTTAACATTTCAATATTTATCACAGGAAAATTAGGAATGTCTTTTTTTTATAGGTTCCCATTTAGTTCTTGAAAAGTTAATTGAGAAGCAACCAATCTCCTATCAACATTCCTAGTCAGTGACTGAAACACTAAGACTGAAACACATGCAAAGCATGTAAATCAAAGGAACTGATCAGTTTTGAACTGTACATCCACATTAAAATAAAATTGAAATGTAACTATGAACAAAAAAAAAAAATCAACAAAACTGGTCAATAATACCCAATAATGGTGATTTCTAGGGACTTGTACAGAGCAACCTTGATAACTACATCCTAGTCAGTGAGGAGGTCTTTGCAATGAACCCATCGCAGTAAGAGGGTCCTACAGCTCACCGTGGCCATCCGCTCTCCTGGCTGGCCCACAGCTCTGGAAACCCCAGACACGAGTCCGTAGGTTAAGACAAACACAACTCACACTAACCATGACACAGGGGAGGGAACGAGAAAACACATGGAGGTACGAGACTTCAGAGGAGAAAGACTATTAGTAACGGTCTCCCTCGCATGCATGTTTGTACCCTGTGAAGACTTTACCCAGGAATATCTGGAGCCAGAGCAAATAATCCAAGTATTAATGACAGGCTCAAAATGCAAGTAAAAGTAAAACACACTCAAAATAGGACAAAAAAAAAAAAAAAAAAAAAAAAAGGCTGTTGAAGCCTGGAGGGCAACTGTATGTAAAACCAGTAGATCCGGAGAGCAAAGCTAGATTTGAAAACCACATGCAACATCTCCAAACAAGACAAAGACGCTAAAAACCAGGCTCCTTCACGGACACCTCAAAACTGCAGGAAAAAATGCATTTACCTTTGTCATCAAAACATAACCATTCAAGTTTTAGGCTGACGTGTCTATGACCCATCAACACTTCTGAAAACCAGTACTGAAATGTTTATCAGAACTTTTCAAGGAGCTCCAACACCGACCAGGCACATATACATGACTCCCCGAGAAATGTCACCACAGTGAGGCAGAATTGGTGAAATCCCATTCTACAAGTACGAGCAAAGGAAGGTTATGACTCATGAGTATGGATGGACTGTAATATTTAAATGACACATTTCTGATATACTCACAAAATCTTCATAGAAAGTATTAAAACTCAAAAGAGAAAAAAAGACAGGAGTCAAATACAGAGATGAAATGTACAAAACAAATGAGCAGGCAAACTAAAAGTTCTTGAAAGTATTTTACTTCAGATTGAAAAATGAACAGCTTCCACACTGTTCATTGCAAGATACACAGTATTCACGAATACAATGCTGGTCATTTGAGGATATGTACACACCTCAATTTCTCCTTCATGCTTTTTCTTTTAGAAAGATACTGTTTACCAAAAAGAAACTTCAGCAGTACAGGAAAAACTATTTTCCCAATAAATTTACGAAAACCTAAGATTCCCAATGGAATCAAGATTATCTTCCCGCTACCACCACCTTAATATAATCACATGCTTATTGGAACGCTAATATCTGCACCCTAAGAGTACATTTACTTTCAACAATGAGGGTGATTCTTAAAACAAAACAAAACAAAACAAAACAAAACTTCAGTGTGGTAAATGTAACAATGGATCTCTGCAAGTATTAAGTGTCTGAAATAGGCAGCTAATACTGGATTTAATATCATTTTATAAATAATTGTTCCCTTAGCAGTAAACATAAGTCTACACATTCACAATAGTCCTAGAAAATAAATACTGTGATTAAGCACAATATGTTATGACAAACTAGTTTCAAAACACAAAAGCTCAACATCTTGATAAAAATTCTGATCAGAATAAAATGTGACTCTAAAATTTAAAACATTGTCAAAATAACATCACATTTAAAATTTTCCACGATTTACACAAGTATCATGAGTTTCCAGTTGTGGAACACATTTTCCCATTGTGAATTAAAATACGAACATATTGAAAACTGTCAATTTCAGTGATAACATCAGTTTTGGTCTTACTTTAGCATTATTTTCTTTATAAAAAGTTGCACTAAGTGTCCATTAATGATCTGATTGGTCTTCAGTATTTCATAAATGTATATAAAAGAAATTCCTAAAAGCCAATAGTACTTTATATGTATATATATATAAAAGAATCTCATTTCCCAAATGGCTGTAATTAACAGAGCCACATACACTGATGCTAAACACAAGAGCCTTCACATTGAAAGAGAGCATTTTCAGAAATGTCACTTACATCCTATTATAGTCAACATTCCCGAGTTTCAGACTCAACATGTGATGGGTAACAGAATTATACATCTCATTTGCGCTCAAAGCTGACCACAACCAAAATTTACAGTATGATTGAAACAAGCCAATGTTTTAAAAAGTTTTAATTAAAGATAACAATTCCATGGAAGGAGAGGATAAAGAATGGGATGACAAGAAGTATTTGGTCTTAATAAGGCAATACAAAATAGATCCATTATCAAAGACCATTTAATTTTTAAAGATCAACAATACCAAAAGCATAAAGTGGAGTATAAGAAAATAGTTTTTTATAAGTATGATTTAATTAAAGCTGTTTACAGTTAATCTCTCCCACAGTAGTTAAGCATGGATTTAGAAAAGAAGAAGAGACGAGAGAACCAAGCACACGCTGCACACAGGGTTGGGAGCCAGCATGCAAAGTCTGTGGGACTCGGGGTTTCACCGCAACAGGAATGGGACCAGACGCGGGCGGCCTTTTTTTTTTTTTTTTTTTCCCCTATTAGGAAGAAAAACAAAACAAAACAAGACTGCAAAGGAAACAAACACAAAGTCATGTAATTGCCCATTGCCCAAGACGACAGCACTATAGAAAACAGTTGCAAGTTAATTCTTAGAGATGACTAGAGCTTTTCAGTGTTTACACAAAAGTACATAGTACGTTTTTTTCTTTTTTTCTTTCTTTCTTTTTTTCTTTTTTCTTTTCTTTTTTTCTTTTTTTTTTCTTTTTTTTTACAAAATAAAATGTCATTTGCCACCATAAACCTTTTCTTTAGAGGAAAAATTTTTGCAGCAGGTCACAAGGGTTCTAGAGTTAAGTCATTTCAATGCTGAGGAAAACAAATTGAGTAATAGAACTAATCACTTCCCTATATATGGATGTTAAGATGACAATTCAGATTATTTTTGAAACTAATCCTGAGAAAAATCTGTTTACAATTTAAACAGTAATGTTATGTAAAAAGTATTAACAAATCCACTATTACAAATATCAATTTCCTATATGGTCATCTATATATACACACAATAAAATGGTAAATATATGCAAAAATATTAAAAAAAAAAAAAAGAAAACATGCACAGATCACTTTCCCCTTTGGAATCTGGACTTCCTATAAGATACTTTTGTTTTCTTTCCCCACCCCATCCTCTGAAATTGGTTTTTGTTCCTATCACCCTACCCACACTGAATATTATTCCCTATAACTCTGCATAAAGCCAATGAGAAATATATTTATTTTACATTCAAGCTTTAAATCTTAAAATGACCCTGTTGTAGCATATGACTTATCAAATGAGCAGCCTTTTTTTTTTTCCCCCTTTTTTGCTTGCTTTTTGTTTTTGCAGTTGTCAGTCTTCATGATCCATTCCGTGGCGAGCTGGGAAAAAACGCAGTTGCTAAATCAAAGTCTGAACAGTGTAAGGCTCCCGAGCGCCAGGAGTCCCTATCCAACTGTCCTGAGCATGAGACCATTGCACACAGAAGACAGTCCATCGCACAACGCCGACTATCTACAAAGGTCTGAGAGGGGGGCATCCCTCTTGTGTTTCCTCTTTTTGCCATGGTAATACTGATTATTTGATTTGCCTTGATGCTGTTTGTTTGTCATCAAGGAACCATGGCTTGTTTGAGTTGTACCTTGGAAGCCTTTGCTGGAAGAACGAAAGAGCCTTGCTGATCCATGCTGCAGAGAAAGAAAGCGGTCAAAGAGACATCAGTATTGTGAATTCAGCGGAGCAATCACTAAGACCTGACTCAGGGAGCTTTCAAATGAGGAATATGCCAAGTTACCCAGCAGGCAAAAAACGGTACTTCAGGGATTCACTCTCCTGAGCTCTAAAACTTTTGTTTCTTTTTTTTCATGGAAACACTGGAAAACACAGACCATTGCCTTCCTTGCCTTGCCCTCTTCCCTCTTCAGAGTATATGGAATGTGAAACTTTTCTCAAGGAACCTATCCATCAATATACCACATAATAAACAGCATTACCGAAGAAGCTCTTAGACACAAAGGTGTGCTGCCAGGTCAGGGGTCATCACGGACCCCTGATCACTATCAGGTCACGGTCATCTTACATCCTGCTATCACCTGTCACTTTGTTGCTGTTTCTACATGGATGTGTGTTTGGTGCACATGACCAAGGCTGTATAGGTAAAGTAGATTCTGGGAGTCAGGCATGAGGTGACCGACGTAACAGTCCATCTCTACTCCAAGAGGCCTTCCCCAGGGTCTCCACCGTACAGAGAGAGGGTGAGATGGCCTTGGGTCAGAGCCCAGTATGAAATGGCTTCTTTCCTCATTTTGATTCCTTACTCATGATTAATAAAATTTTAGACAACTACAAAACTGAAAATAGAGTATTCTCTGTGGCCTAAGTCAAAGCTGATGTTCATCGACAGCTGACCCACTATCTGATCATTTCAACACAAGCAACTAGGTACTGAATATTAAAATATAAAAAAGGTGAGGGTGCCTGGGTGGCTCAGTCGGTTGGGCGTCTGACTCCAGCTCAGGTCATGATCTCGCAGTCCATGGGTTCGAGCCCCACGTCGGGCTCTATGCTGACAGCTCGGAGCCCGGAGCCTGCTTCTGATTCTGTGTCTCCCTGTTTCTCTGCCCCTCCCCTGCTTGCTCTCTCTCTCTCTCTCTCTCTCTCTCAAAAATAAATAAACATTAAAAAATTATTTTAATATCAAAAAGGTAAATAAACATTAAAAATAAAGAAAAGAAAATATAAAAGAAGGATATATTACTCCCAGATGTGCAAAACATTGCCATAAGGTCATGCAAAAGCTTATAGTGGGCTTACTTCAAGTACAACTAATCTTTTAAAAACTCAGTGCAATTGTTTAAATGCTGAATCTGTACTAAGGTGGGGTGGCCGGGACGTCTTATGAGGACCAGTCGCTAAATGCCCACAAAGGTTTACATTACAGTGGCGTCTCATAATGATCTTCAGGACACCCTGTTACAGGAAGCATTGTGCTTTGGAACCTCTTAGAACAAAACAGGTTTGTTCTTCCAACCTAGAGTTTTCTTCAAACCCACAATGTGTATATATATTCACGCTTGAGAAATTCTAAATAGTCTGTATTGAATATGAACAATTAAAAACACACAAATTCCACACACCTGAGATTTGTTGGTGCTGTTGGAGGTGTTACTGGTCTGGGTGCTCTGCATTTTCCCAACCGCCTGGGATGATTCCAAGGACACATCCTGCGACCCTACCCGGTTCCCAGTGGACGGACGGCAGAGCAGCTGTTTCGGGGTTTTGCATGGTGTCGCATCAGAATCCTAACATAAGTCATATGAGTTATTATGTGACGTATTAGTAATTCAGATATTCATCTTTTAGACTAAATTTAGCCATTTGGGAGTTAAGGGAAGCACCTTGACGAATTGACCAAATTAACCGCTTGAGTTGCCTCCACAAATTTCCCTCCAAACATCTTAGGTGGCTTATTTTATCAGAAGGTTTCTGTTCGTTGTTAAACCTATTGTCTAGACCTGACCTTGTTAATAAGCCTGGAAGGGGCTCACAGAGGTCCAAGTTTATCTGCACCTCCACTGATAGGAAATGAACCACGGTACAGTGCAAAGAGCACGGCAAAGATAAGGCCCCAGGTCCCGGACTCAACGTCTTCAACCAAATACAAAACGACTGATTCAAAAGGCTCAATTTCTGCGCATCTGTGATAAATAATCAGTGAGTGCTCCAACCGAACACCCCGCGTGGTTAAGAACTTCCCAGAGACGACAGGCTGAGCCCCACCTGTTTCTGGGCTGCCTGGGACACAACTGTGCTACTTCTCTGCTCAGGTCTACCCTTCACCTTCACACTCATAGTCCCTAAAGCTCGCTCTTGAGGCTGTCTTTGTGTCTGCCCCACTGTGTCTGTGACCTCTAGCTCAGCTCCGTCCTCTAGAACTCTCCCCTAGGAAGGAAAAAGGCACGCAGGTAGATGGTGCATATGAGGATTCATGATTCCATTACGATCCGTGGTCATCGCCAACAACATAAAATGATGTCCCTTCCACAGTTAGATTACTCTATATGTCACAGACTTAATAAAGTCAAAATTCAAATAATGGGTAAGCCCATTTTATATCTCAAGGAAGCACACTCACAATTAACCCTGATGAGGAACAGTAACTGTAGGTATAACTGTAAGTTAGAGTCAGAAAGCAGAGGTGGGGCTGCCGCGGGATTCGGGGAGGGAGGAATGGTTAGAGGTGGCTGATGGGTTTCTTTCAGGAGCGATGGCAATATACTGGACTTAGTGGCAATGGCTGCACAACACTGAATATACTGAAAACCACTGAACTGTGTATTTTAAAATAGTGAACTTTATGTTATGTGAATTATACCTCAACTTAAAAAAATTCAATCAAGAAGTTCAAAAACATTACTGAGTGGAAGAAGCCCTACACAAAGGAGTATACACGACAATGATTCCACTTATGTGAAATTCTGGAACAGGCCAAACTAATCTGTGGTATTAGAAAATCTTGAGAGTGGTTACCTCTGGGGTGGAATTCGGGACTGACTGGAAAGCATCATGAAGGACCTCTCTGGGATGATGGTAACAGTCTGTACTTTGTTATAGTTGGGGTCACACATGTGCACACAGTGTTAACATTCACTGATGCACAATTTAGATTTCTTTGTACGTCAATTTTGTATCAAAAGAAAAAACGAACCAAATACTGAATGCTGGTCAGTAATGAGCACACTAGAGTATTTTAGGGGAAGTGTACCGATGTTTGTAGTTTACTTTGAAATGTATCAAAGGATAAGATGAATTAGTGGATAGAGGGATGGATGGATGGCTAGCTATGGGATAAGTACGTAACATGTTAATGGCAGAGTCTAATGGCGATGTATATGGATGTTCACTAAAATTCTCTCACTTTTGCTGAATGCTTCAAAACTTTAATCCAATGTTGGGGACATGTACAATCAACATAAGTTATTAAAGTTTCCCAGTAATAAATAAGAAAAGGAATTAAGTTTAGCCCTCTAGACAGCTATCCCCCCAACAGAACTCCTAAGCATAGGTTCAGAAAAGCCACGTCCTCATACTTACGACATCACTAGAGCTGGACTGTGTGGCAGAAGAGGAAGACACTGGACCTGATGAAGAGTTTGAAGAGTGTTTACTAAGAGATTCCGAAGTTTTACTTCTACATTTTCCAAGGGCTTCATTTTCTTCAGATAGATTATTATTACATTTATCTAACTGCTGAGTATCTACTATCAAGGTAACACCATTTCCTGAAAGAGTGGCAAAAGATTGGAAAACGTTTCTTCCCATTAAACACACACAACACAGAAGAGCCACTAATGTTCGGTCAATCAATCAATGAAAAACTCTTACCATTGCATGAAGGCTCAGGCCTATTCTGCAAGCCCCACTGTTTTGATATCCAATCTCTGTACGTGGCAACTTCGTCCGTTACTCTAATTATTCTACCTAATATGCTGCATGCGTTTAAAGAAAAAAGAGGGAGTACGTTAATTCGGAGATACGAAGCCACAACCAATTTTGACCCAAAGGGCTGTCTTTAGTTAAGCCTTTACCTCTCCGTTTCATTGTTGGGATAGTATTTCGCTATTGGTGATACAGCATGACTCAAAACAACATAGGCATAATCAAAGGCCTGTTTCACTTGCATGGCCCCATATGAACTCCTTCCAACATCATTACCTTTAAAAGAAACATATATAGAAGATAGTAAGCGTGACCAGTGCTTAATAAGAACTAAATGTGCACAGGCCCTCTTCCAGAAGAGCAAAGGCAATTGCTTTCCTTATACAGTTGCATAAAGAATCTGGGCAGGGCGGGTGGCCATCCCCACAACTCCCCAGGCTCTGAATGTGTGTATCCTGCAGTAAGTACATTATGGCATATAAATTGCCTCAATGTATTCTGGCCCCACAGGGACTATCTCACATACAGTCATGCAAACAAAGGAGTTAACTGCCTGCTCTCTCCTAAGAGTGAAACCAAGCTAAATGAGATATCCCTGTCTTTTGTTTCTATTAGCTATATAAATATCTCCAGCACTAAATTATAAGCTCCTGAAGCAAGGAGCATCTTGCTGAAAATCTTTGTGCCCTTTACGTAGAGAAGCTTCCTGATAAACATTTCCTCCATGAATGAACACGCAGAACTATTAAGGTTTATAATACGGCACAATAAGCCAGAGAAGGGCCCCTAGATGACTACTCTCTTAACTCCCTTTCCTTAATCATTTTCAAAGTTAACACAGTGAAGCAAACGACTAAAAGCATCTCCACTGAAGTCTGGTAATACAGAATCTAAATATCCTACAATGGTGGCAAGAAAAAATACTGCCCAGAAAAACTAGGATACAAGCAAACAAACACAACCCCATGACAGCAAGGAAGGAATCCACCATGAAGCTGGAAAAGGCACAGGGAGACTGTGCAAAATTAAAAGAGGAAAGAAGGGGCTCAAAAGGAAAACAGGCTCTCTGAACCCTTCTGCTCATCATTTCTGAGCTGTATTACCATGTTTATTGCCTCGTAGGGCTTCAGGAACCTCGCTCAAAGCCCTGACTGCCAATGGGCTAAAATCAGGGCCAACAAGGTCACGACAAAGAAGAAAAAGGCCTGCAAACTGGAGACGCGCACAAGCCACCCAAACCAACAGCTAGTATCTATACTCCTTTGCCTCTCAGGGCCAAACGGCCTCTACTCCCAGCTCACTGGGAATATGCAGCGTGTTTTTCTGGCGTGTGTGTTGTGTTTTCATGTTTTCTTGCAAGATATTCTGAGGAAAAATAATGAGTACCATTAGAAGTTAATTTTTTATTTTCACTCTCTAAAGAGAGTTGTGGAGGGGCGCCTGGGTGGCTCAGTCGGTTAAGCATCCGGCTTTAGCTCAGGTCATGATCTCACAGCTCATGAGTTCAAGCCCCACATCAGGCTCTGTGCTGACAGCCTTGGAGCCTGGAGGCTGCTTTGGATTCTGTCCCCCTCTCTCTCTCTGCCCCTCCCCCGTTTGCACTCTGTCTCTGTCTCTCAAAAATTAATAAATGTAATAAATGTTCAAAAAATAAAACAACCTATAAAGAAAGAGAGAGAGAGAGAGAGAGAGAGAGAGAGAGAGAGAAAGTGAGTGAGTTGTGGGGCTTTTTAAAAAGATTTATTTATTTATTTAAGTAATCCCTACACCCAACATGGGGCTCGAACTCCTGACCCCAAGATCAAGTCATACGTTCCACCTACTAAGCCAGCCAGGTGCCCCTCTTCTAAAAAGAGTTTAAAGTACAACAGTGGCAATGCCCTTTCTTTGAATGCCCACAAATTTACCTAATTTCAATACCTGGTTGTAAAGGATCTTCAATATAAAGCATCGATGGCCTGTAGCCATCAAGCATATTTTTCTGTACTTCATCTTTGGCCACATACGAACCACCATCCTTTATCCGGATGCCAGTCTTTAAATAATTGAAGTGTCGTCCGTATAATTCAAAAAATTCTATTAAAAGAACACCATAGTTTGTATTGGGGATGCAAGCATCTTCCCTGGGATGTAACTAAAACCAGGAAAAAAAAAAAAAAGAAATTATATTGGATTTTCTCTCAATTATCAAGGTGGGTAAAATAAGAGACATCCTCACTCCTATAAAACAATACTATTAGAATTCTGGTTAGGCTAGCAGCCAACAGGGAACTGGAGCAACGGCAGGCTGTACTGCTTCAGACAACACTAAAGCCCCACTGGTACAGAACTGGTGGGGGACAATTTATTTACAAAATTCAAGGCTGAATTTCACAGCTGCCCTAGGATGCTAACAGGGCTGGCTTGGCCCAAAACGTCAGGGAATCATTCTGACTCATTAGCGGAGTCGGGCCGTTGACAGCACTGCGGCTCATGAACACATTCACAGACAACATTAAGACTTCTAAATCACTCCACCCAGATAGCAGATCTCCATTCCAGCTAAACTTCCAAGATTTGTTGCTTAGAAGATACTATTTTTGACATTTATACTACCACTTACACTTACAAAAAGCACGCCATACCTAAGCATGTTAAAATTTCAGTGAAAATTCTTAAAACCACTAGAACATATGGGGTTAAAAACAAACCAAAAATTATTTCCTGAGATTTAAAAATACTTATTTATAAAATTATAAAGAGTCCCATTTTAAAGTGAAAAATCATAAGTAATTAAGGGAAGCATTCCAATTAGAGCTTGATTTAAATTTTTTTCCAAAATGATTTCCTGATGGATTAATTTTATTTTAGTGTACACGAGGCATGATATATAATCATACAACTTACCTGAAGGAAACTGACTGCCATTAAAAAGAGACTATAAGAACCAATTCCACCTGTAAATACTTCATTAAGGTCCCTCTGTAATAAGAATTGTTTCAATACTAAAACCAAGTACGGTAATACAGGATATTTCTGAAAAAGAAAATTGTATTTTCAGTGAACTCCTACATCAGTAATCGTGCTAAGCATCAACAGGAGCATAAACTGGGTCCTTATATTAACAGACTTTAGTGGAGATATCCAACACACTTTATTTTCTATTTTCAGAGCAAGCTATAAAAAAGTAAGCTATAAATAATTAAGGATTTTCTCCTCACAACGAAGGATCTAAAACATGTAGATGTAAATAATGGCATCCAAGCACTCACTATGGGACAGAAACACTAGCAATATATATTTGATGACACTGATTTATGGCCATTACCATATGATAATTCACTTGTAAACAGGTTAACACCAACAGTACACAACAATTCTCAACTTGTAAAGTACTACATCAGTGGGGTTTTAAAGAATCACTTTTCTTAGGTGGCCCTCCACCAAACAGACCAGGGTCCTTCAGAAGACGGTGCACAGCCCAGGAGCAGGGGCACTCAGGGTCCTGCCTGCCGCCTTCCATGTGGGCAGGTGACCACGCTTTACAGAGATGGTGAGGACACCTGAGCTGGCAAACATGAAGAGTGTGAGTCCATCCTTCACTCATGCACATACTCATTAAGTGCTCTCCACAAGCCAGGGCCTAGCTAAGGACGCTGAGGGGAATACAGCAGGCCCAAACATCTAGAAAGAAGTCTTAACAGCCATCACCGAGGAGTGGTAGAACTACTAGTGACTTGTAGTTTGTTCTTGACACTCTGAACACACACTGGTACTGCTTCCAAAAGAAAAAAGTCTCTACTTTTGCAAATCATGTCAAAGTCGGCAAGCATGAGAAATAACTACAAATCTATGGAGAAATAATCATTTTTAAACGTTATGGTTGAAGTTGTAAATAGTCTCTTTAAAGAACAATCAGGCACATTTCCAACAGACTTTGATTTGCATGTATCCTTTGACTGTGAAATTCCACTTCCAGAATCTTCCTACAAACATTTTACAAGTGTAAAGAAAGATGGCAGGTATGGAAGGATGTTCAAGCACTTTCTACAATAGCAAAAAACCCTAGAAACATCACTAGAGGAATGCTACAGAAAGCATGACATGTGCTGACAAAAGACTATTGTGTCGTCAAGGAAAAGAATGAAGGAAACCTGTCTGTGCTGATACATTAAGTATAAGACAATGTGTACATAGCATGCTATTCCTTTTGTTAAAAATTTCAAGAGGATAAACAAGCAAAAAAGAGGATGACTGGGGTGCCTGGGTGGCTCAGTCAGTTAAGTGTCTGACTTCGGCTCAGGTCATGATCTCACAGTTTGTGAGTCCGAGCCCCATGTCAGGCTCTATGCTGACAGCTTGGAGCCTGGAGCCTGGTTCAGACTCTGTGTCTCCCTCTCTCTCTGCCCCTCCCCCGATAGCACACGTACTCCCTCTTGCTCTCTCTCTTAAATAAACATTTTTAATGTTTTTTAAAAAATTAAAAAAAAAAAAAAAGGTTGATGATGGCAAATCCCATGAAACCGATCTAAGCATATAAGGTATAAAGTGACTTGCTTTTCGTTTTCCTTTGATAGTGGTAAGTTTTCTATCATGCACATTATTCTCAATTGTAAAAAGGTTTCCTTTCTGGGAAAAAGAAAATTTACATACATCCAACACCTCCAAAAAGAGTGGGATTATGGACAGTATTTTTCTTTTTCTGCTTTTCTATACTCTGCACATTTACATGAGAATATAATGTTTACAACATGACAAAGTAGTTAAATTTGTTTCTTACATGAAGAGAAAAAGGTGAATCTGTAGAGCTGATAAAAGTATTGTGAACGGACAAAAAAGATATTCTACATAAACCAAAGCAGTTAACATTTTTAGCTTAGTGAGAAAAAGGCTGACACGTCTAAGCACGTGAATGCTTTGAAGATGTTGACAAATTCTACCCCATCTTGACAGAACCAATGGAAACAGACATTCTATCACTTCAAGACAAAGTCAGGAAACCTGCAGGAACTACCTTACAGGTGATTTGGGGGCCTACGGAGGTGCTTCACCTAAACTCTTAAGAGATTAAAGCAGATGACAAGAATCAACTGTTTGGCACGATTTCAGCCCTTGTCTCCCTAAAAGGAAGGATCTAGAGCAGAGAAGTTCTTCAAAACGCTTTCCCAACCCTTAACCTTAAGTCACGTTATAAATTACTGATTATTACAAGCAGACTCAAGGAAAGTAAAACCATCCCACAGAAAAGAGGCAATTGTCAGCAATACACACATAAGTATAGTTTAGCAATGCATATCAGGACACCACGACAGAATCACAAAGCAAAACTCCACTCCTAGTAGTTTCACTGCATAAACACTATGCCTTCTCTGACCTTGGTAAAATCTTTGATGAGGTCAGCTGCTCGCACGCCATTCTGTACATTAAAGCTGATATCAACTTTCACTTCAGTAAAAGAATCTGTCAATTTAATAATAGGTACCTAAAAGAGAAGAAAGGCAAAATTAAAATATGTGGACCAAGTTAAATAACACACCAGGGGATGGGAAAGGTTACTAGACTTGAGGTCTTGACCTCCTCATACGGACAGAAAAACTCTTGAGTGTTCTGATTACTACGTACTACACAGTCTGCTTGGTCTTCTAGATACTTCACATATTTAGCACGGAGCCTCATACGATGTATATTATCATTTCTATTGGTTGAGAATTTTGAAATCAGGTAACAAAAAACCTTTCTCAACCTTTTGTACTTTGGACCTTTCTCAACATTTTGTACTTTGGACAACAGTTTCCAACTCGGTCCTTATGATTAATGTCAGGTGTATCGACAAATTGTTCCTAGTAAGAAACCTGCTCTCTTAAGTCTGTTAATTATTGGTATTATTGGTCAGTTTTGCAAATAGCCCATAAAACAACCTACCAAGAGAAGTTAAAACCTGAGAATTATTCTCAAATAAAAAAATCACTGGATGGTTTATAGAAGATATTAGAAATTCTCTTAAAAAAAAAAAAAAAAAAAAAAGCTTGGGGCACCTGGGTGGCTCAGTCAGTTAAGCTTTCAACTCTTGATTTCGGCTCAGGCCATGTCTTGCAGTGGTGGGATCAAGCCACATGTTGGGCTCCATGCTAAGCTTGGAGCCTGCTTGGGATTCTGTTTCTCTCCTTCTCTCTCTGCCCCTTCCCCCTCCACCAAAATAAATAAATAAACTTTTTTTAAAAATTTTATTTAAAAAAAGGCTCTATTTGCACTCTGTATTAGAAAACTCAGGTCAGCAAACTGTATGTACAGAACTGGGTTTTCAAATTAATAGCTTTTTATAAGCTGTTTTGTTCTAAGAAAACTTAACATACACAACTCCGAACTTCTAAAATAGATAAATTTATTTCCATAATGAGCATCTATGAAAGTTTTTTAATGGCCATTCTAGATAAGAGTTAAAATATCGAGTTGCTTGATCTACAAAATTTCAATTACAGCTGACCCTTGAACGACACAGGTTTAAACTGCGTGGCTCCTCTTTTACACAATTTTACACAATACTGTACCGTATTTTCCTTATGATTTTCTTAACATTTTCTTTCCTCTAGCTTACTTTATTGTAAGAATATAGTAGTATATGATATATATAACATACAAAATATGTGCTAATCAACTATTTATGTTATCAGTAATCCAGTCAACAGAAAGCTCTTAGCAGTTAAGTTTTTGGGGGGTCCAAAGTTACATGTGGATTTTTACCAGTGTGGGGAGTTGGGTCCCCTAACCCCCATGTTGTTCAAGGGTCAGCTGTATGAAGAATTTTTTTAAGGACACAAAGTAAGAGAGGACAGCAACATCCTCTGTGTGACTATAAACTGTTAAATAGATATCCAAATTTTTATTTACACTTTTTAAATATAAATACACTTAGGGGCGCCTGGGTGGCTCAGTCGGTTAAGCGGCCGACTTTGGCTCAGGTCATGATCTCACGGTCCGTGAGTTCGAGCCCTGCGTCGGGCTCTGTGCTGACAGATCAGAGCCTGGAGCCTGTTTCAGATTCTGTGTCTCCCTCTCTCTGCCCCTCCCCCGTTCATGCTCTGTCTCTGTCTCAAAAATAAATAAACGTTAAAAAAAAAAAAAACTTAAAAAAAAAAAATAAATAGAAATACACTCATATTTAAAAACTCTACAGTATTATGTATGATAAAATGGAGTACTATATTTTAAAGAAATATATAACCACAACGAGTTCATCTGTTTCACATAAGGTAGTGTGATCATTAATGAAACCAAAGAATCATTCACTGAGAATCCAACTATGCTCTCCAAAACTAAATTTTAATTTTGTAAGCTTCATGCATAAGTAACTAGAGATTTTAAGATGAAATGCGAGAAGAACTTACAGTTGCTTTGTCTAGAACTTTGACCGAATCCTCATCTGCAACTTTATGTTTCCGGAGAGCTTCTTCCAGGGTCCAGAGGGGAAGGTTCTCCCACTTCCCAAATACCACAAGATCAATGTCACTGGGCACAGAACACACACACGAAAGTTGTTTGAAGAAGAAACTGTACCTGTTTTCACTTGCATTCGGGCTTACTTACAGACTTCAAAGTGCAATTAAAACCTATTTCTCACACTGCCCAATGAAGACTAAATGTGTTGTTCGTAGTTTTTTAGAGCAGAAGTGGAGGGTGGGGACTTTAACAACCTCCTCCTCCTAGTTTTTTCACAGAAGTCAGGCCTCAGGAAATGGTGATTCTGAAAGAAGTTAAAACCTCAAAAAATACCAGTGAACGTTTCCTGTTCATAAAGGTTTCTGGGACGAAAAAACTTAAGACGTTCTTAACATGGATGAGATTAACTAATTAACTCTGATTTAGATTATTAAGTGTAAAAAGAAAGTTGCAAATGGTTTATCTAGGATCCTACCATCTGTGTAAAAAAGGAAGAAAACATACACACATTTCCTTTTCTAGGTATAAAATGTTCCTGGAAGGATGTGCAAGAAACTGGTACCAAGGAGCAGGGGACAGAGGTGGGATCCACACTTTTCATTGTAATTTTTTGTGCCCTTTTCAATATGAACTATGTGAATATACTGCCTATTCATAAAATTCAATTAAATTTTTTAGAGTGACACAGGGTTTTGCTGAAAGTCAGAATCTAAATAAGGAAAAATATTCATGAACTCAAAGTTGAATACTTTATGGCCTCTGTAGGCCTACGATAGCAATGGGCAGAATAGAAATTGAGAGGATCCATCCATATCAACACATTTTTTGTTTTTAATTTGGGTAAAGTAGATCAAATCAAGCTCAAATAAAAAATCATGATGGATGCCTATAGTTAAAATCATACTGTACTGCACACTCAAAATTTTGTTAGGAGGTTAAATCTTACATTAAGCGTTCTTACCACAATAAAAGCAAAAACAAATACATGATGAAATTTCAGTTTGTAGAAGACAGGTATTTACACCTTGGGGAAGCCTTATCATCCCCAAAAGGTCCTGCCCTGCCCCAGATTTCAGGGCCATGACTGCCGTGATTGAAGAAGACTAAAATTAATAAGGGACCTTCCTCAGAGAAGCTCCGGGTCAGGATGTGGGAACAAATCTAATAGTAAGAGTTCGTAATAAGAAATGACAGACCTGCCATTCCAGAGTAAATGAGGCTTTACAGTATAATCGGGTGTTTTGCCAGAATATTACATCAACCTCTGTGTTAGCGGGTTACGTTACAGAAGTGAACAGGCAGGGTAGTTCATTGTTAACTGATTCCATTTGCTACATGTTCCCTTTACATCTGACAGGATACAGATATCAGTTTGAGAAGATCATCTGAAGTGATGTTCTACCCCCAAGGTAACTCAAATAAAATACAGATAAAGTGAATTTTCATTCTGTAAATCTGTTTTGTTCCTACTCGCCTACATTCAACAGCCAAAATGAACACATTCTAGAAAAGGGCACAATATCCTGAAAGCTCCATAAATGTACTAACCTAGTAGGTAAATACAGGCCAGTTTTAAAACTTCCAAATATCTGGACCTGAAATAGAAAAAAATTATTATATTAAGGTATTTATCAGATGAAAAGCCACCATGCTTTAGAGAAAGGTTGGTTTTTTGCTCCCCTCTATTGGTAGTTTTTGGTACTACAAGGGCACTTTTTAAGAACACCATGCTTTCATGAAGCAGGAATACTGTATCTCATAGGCAGACATTAGGAATATAGTTTAAATTTATAAGGTTAAAAGAACAAATGTACAGACTGAAACAGAAAACTCTCAAAAGTAATACCCAAGTTACTCATGCTCCCTTATAATCTAGAGACATGTTCAACAAATCCTTAATTTTGATTCCCTAAGCAGGACTCTTGTCATGGGTTACTGAGTTAGGGTCAGACTACTTCAGCTGCAGGCCAGCTCCATGCAGAGCACCAGGCAGTGTCATCCCAACAAGAAGCTGTGGCATAAAACTAGACACATCCTATCCCAACCGTGGAGAAGAGTGGAAGATTCAGTGTAGGCGAGTAATTGCAATAAAGGATGAATGGTGAAAAAGCTCAGCCTCTGAGGGGAGATGCACCCAGGAACCTAATCACAGCTACATGTTTCTCACCTGTAAACAAAAATATGGTTAAAACCCCCCACCTCTAAAGGAGGAAGATTCATTTAAATCAGGGTTTCTCAACCTCAGCACTACTGACATTCAGGGTAGATAACTTCATGAGGGGCTGTTCTGTGCATTGTAGGATGTTTAGTATCAGCCTTGGCCTCTACTCACTATATGCCAGGAGCACCTCACCAGTCAATGATAATCAAAAATGTCTCCAACATCGCCAAGTGACCCCTGGGTGGCAAACTCACCCCCCAGCTGAGAGCTACTGATTTGGATCACACAGGAGAATCAATGTGAACACACAGAAGCTGCTCAATAAAATATTAGTGTCCTCTCCTCTTCCCTTTACCTACAGTGTCTCATTTAAAGCTTTTCTGTTTTGCCACCTGGACAAAAGAAACTTCCTTGGCTTCCCCTTTATCATCCCAAGACAAAGTCTAAAGAAAAGCCATTTAACACAGAGTAACAGATTCTAATTTCTTTGAATGAATAAAATAAAATTGTAGAACAGACCCTCAAAAAAACCTCTAAAAAGTATGTAGTTTCAACAAGAACCACAAATAAGCAAAGAGGAAATCCTGGGCAAAAGTCCTATTCACTAGGTGGGTCTGCACGGGGAGACAAGGAGGGGCCAGAAAGAAGAAAGAAGGAGTGTCAAGATAGGAAAACAGACTGATGCCTGCATTAGCCTAAGAAAATGAGCTTCTTATGACCTAAGAGATTCCTACTTGACATTTTCATTCAGCTATGAACACTTACAACGGTAGGCTGGAACAAAACAGTAATGGGATTTTGATCTACCAGATCCAAAAACACAGCTACTACAAAAAAAGGCCTGCCTTGTCTGTCTTCTCTTTGTACTAATGCTTCCTAAATATAGTTTACCTCTAGTCTTGCTCTTCAGCACTGCAAAGAAATAGTTTTAACTAAGTCATCCGATTCACTGCAAATAATTAGGAGGCCCAAAATTCTTTTTTTTTTTTTTATATGAAATTTATTGTCAAATTGGTTTCCATGCAACACCCAGTGCTCATCCCAACAGGTGCCAGGAGGCCCCAAATTCTAAAGGCTAGAGAAGACTATCGCCCCTAAGTGTACAGACGCCTGCACGTGGGGACTCTGAGACACCAACACGTGCCCTCCCCCGCTGCGGACAGGGATGTTGCCCTCAGCACGCAGCAACCAGACAGATACTCACGTCAGCGCTGGGCCAGAGCTCCTTAATCACACTCTCGATCCTGTTCACCACCTCCATCCGCATCTTTTCTTCCTCCGGTCTCGGAGACATGTATTCGTAAAAATCACTGATTTCTTCATGCAGACTGAAGGGGGAAAAAAAAGCAGAAAAGCTAATGTGGGCAGGGCCAGTCTAATGAGAAATCACTATCTTAAATAACTATCTAATTAAGTCTTATGACTCCGCTGATGACTTTATGCTCATAGATTTCTACCTAAATGTTAATGCTATAACTGATGCTAGCTAGCCTAAAGTGGGAATATACAGAAGTTAATAGAAACTGCCAAAATAGTTACATAAAATAAGAAGTTCCAATAAGTCTTACCAGCCGCTCTCATAGCATTTATTATCTGCCTGTGCAGAACCTTGCCGGGTGTATGCATGCTGGTGATTTAAAAAAAAATTTTAAATGTAATACGTAAGGCCTGGCCTCTGCCTTTATACTTCCAATCCAGCAGACACACACAGAATCCAGATGACACAGGCAAGCTTCCTGGCCATGGGGACCGGCCATCTTACCCCTCTATAATCCATTCCTCACAGGAACAAAACAGCCTATCTTTTGTAATGTTTGCTTAGTGAATCAAGAGTCAGATGAACAGGAGAGTCAGTGAGCATCAGCAAAGACCTGAAAAGAATGGCTGGCAGACAAGGCTCCATGGAGGTGCTAAAGACTCCCTGAGACCAAAAGGAACAAGGCTCATCCAGGAGGCACTGAGCAAACTGGACAGGCTGAGGACAACAGAGGAGGGAGAGAAGCCACCAAGGAATGCAGGCACCTGACCACAGTAGGCTCGGACTTTCCTAGGGGAACAAGGAGCTACTTCAATGTTTCTGAGAAGAACCAGGGAACGACTGACTTTGAAAATGCAGCGTTTTAAGAAGATTCATCTGGCACCCGTGCAAACAATGGACTGGCAAAGAGACAAGACTGGATGCAGAGAGTAGTCCATAAATTACTGCAACTGCAGAAGGGCTGGATGAAGGCCTAAGGGAGGTGCTGGAAAGGAGTGGGCTCCAGAGACATGACATCACACACACACACACACACACACACACACACACACACGCACACACACACGCAATGGCTGGGCTGCAGAGCTCAACCAACAGTAGGAAAAAGGGAGGGAGGAAGGGTGCCTGTGAGTGCTGAAGCCTGACAGGCTGGGGAATCAACGAACAAGATGAAAGGAGAAACCAGTGAGGCTGGCTACGGAGTTGAATGCAGTCAATTAATACCAGAGGACAGAAGAAAATGAAGGCAGCAGGTACAGCTCTGAGCAGTGACCTCTGGGAGGGAAAGCGAGGATGAAATGGAGGGAGATCTGCTAAACTCGTGTTGAATGGGGGCGACCCGGGAGGCCGGCTCCAGGGGCAGGCCTCACAGGGAAGGTCTCCTCTAGTACAACTGTGGTGGGCCAGCAGGCCAGGAGAAAAGCACTTAACAGCAATGGCTGCCAAGTGCCTGGAAGCAAGAGGGGCACCCTGGGGAGGGGGGTGGCCACGTAGGGTGGCCTTGTAGTAACACAGTCTTGAAGGATCCCGGTCTAGAGCAGCTACAGGATTCACAGCAAGCTGGAAACACCAGGAAACTAAAAATGGTTTTGAGGAAGGGAAAAAAAAAAAAAAAAGATGTCTAATTCCCAACCCCCACTTGGCTATAACATTTTAAACATGGCCAAGTAAGCAATCAACAGTTTCTGCCTCTTCTAATGTTTTATTTTTAGGCTAACAGTCAAAAAACCTTGAGTTCTAGACTCAGGCTTTGCCTGAGGGCAGTTGTGTTCCTTCAAAAAGTGACTGGCGCTTCCCAGCCTCGGTGTCCACAGGCACAAACTAGGGGCTGGGAACCAGGATCCTTTTCAGGCCTTAATGTCAAAACCTGGGCCATTCAGTAAGGAATGATTTGTAGCAGTGTTCTGCATGCATACTATGCAATACTGCAGAAAAACTGGGTTTTAAAACTCCAGAGAGTCCTGCATATGAATCCAGAGACTCCCAGTGGGGTTGACTCTTCCCAGGTACGCTTTTGGGTACCTTAGGATCTTCACCTTCTGATTTTCTATAAGGATTATCCCTTTTTCTCTAAATCCCTTTCAGCTTTTTTTTTTTTTCCCTCCCTTTCAGCTTCTTGAAGACAACAGCTAAAATAATCAGTGTAGAAAGTTCAGAGCTTGCACTGCTCTTCTGCATGGGTCTTTGGAAGGATGAGGACCACAGAGAAAAAGGAAAACAAACAGATTTCTTCTTATCTAACTGGATCGTTTGCTATAAATGATCAAAGCGTATTTGTGGTTCAAAAGCACTAGGGGATACTTCCATTTTAACCAATGAGGAAAAGACCTCCTAAATGTGACTGTATCTACTCCACAGAGGCCCACTTCCCGTTTCTAAATATAGACGAAAAATACGTAGCCCAACTTCCAGTTAATCTTCAAATCACAAGAAACTGAATAAGGATTTATTCTCTAAACATTACTGAGTGCCTGTGTTCAACATACTAGAAGGAAAGAAGGCTAGTCAAACATGATCCTTGCCCTTGGTAATTTCCATCTAACGAAAAGAAATATGCATTCAAAGTAGTTTTGTGATGGGTAATATATAAGTGCTACACTGTTCTACCACAGGCAGGCTTCAGATGACCAGAAGGAGAGCTTGCCAGTGACAATAGCTGCAGGGAATGGAGTGAGTTGCCTTGCAGGGTAGTGAGGTCCCTGTCACTGTGAGTGTAAATAAAGAAGCTAAATGGTCATGAGGCAAACAAAGGTCTAATAAGACATTCTTTTAAGATTTATAAGCAATCTCTACACCCAACGTAGGGCTCAAACCCACAACCCCGAGATCAAGAGTTGCATGCTCCACTGACTGAGACAGCCAACTCCCCCAAGACACTTCTGAACTTGTAAAAAGTAGAGAAGATTCTAAAATTCCCATTGATCACTAGATTTTAAGTTTCTAATTAGCATATTATGTAAGCTTAAAAAATTTTTTTTAATCTTTATTTATTTTTGAGAGAGAGACAGAGTGCGAGCAGGGGAGCAACAGAGAAAGAGGGAGACATAGAATCTGAAGCAGGCTCCAGGCCCTGAGCTGTCAGCACAGAGCCCGACATGGGACTCGAACCCACGAACCGTGATATCATGACCTGAGCCGAAGTCGGATGCTCAAATGCCTGAGCCACCCAGACGCCCCAAGTTGTACAAGCGTTTAAAATAAGACCACCATGGGGCGCCTGGGTGGCTCAGTCGGTTAAGCGTCCGACTTCAGCCAGGTCACGATCTCGCGGTCCGTGAGTTCGAGCCCCGCGTCGGGCTCTGGGCTGATGGCTCAGAGCCTGGAGCCTGCTTCCGATTCTGTGTCTCCCTCTCTCTCTGCCCCTCCCCCGTTCATGCTCTGTCTCTCTCTGTCCCAAAAATAAATAAAAACGTTGAAAAAGAAAAAAAAAAATTTTAAATAAGACCACCCTAGGGGTACCTGGGTGGCTCAAGTCGGTTAAGCATCCGACTCTTGATCTCAGCTCAGGTCTTGATCTCAGGGTGGTGAGTCCAAACCCTGCATTGGGCTCTGTGCTAAGTGTGAAACCTACTTAAAAAAGAAAATCTTTGGGGGCATCTGGGTGGCTCAGTCAGTTAAGCATCCAACTTCAGCTCAGGTCATGATCTCACGGTCTGTGAGTTTGAGCCCCACTCTGGGCTCTGTGCCGACAGCTCAGAGCCCGGAGCCTGCTTTGGATTCTGTATCTCACTCTGCCCCTCCCCAACTTGCACTCTCTCTTGCTCTCAAAAATAAGCACTAAAAATAAATAAAAGGGGTGCCTGGGTGGCTCAGTCGGTTAAGCGGCCAACCTCGGCTCAGGTCATGATCTCGCGGTCCATGACTTCGAGCCCCGCGTTGGGCTCGGTGCTGACAGCTCAGAGCCTGGAGCCTGTTTCGGATTCTGTATCTCCCTCTCTCTGACCCTCCCCTGTTCATGCTCTGTCTCTCCCTGTCTCAAAAATAAATAAAACGTTAAAAAAAAAAAAATTTTTTTTTAAATAAAAAAAAAATAAAATAAATAAATAAAATTAAAAATCTTTAAAATAAGACTACTCTGAACATTAATATTCCATGGAACCATCTCCCTATTTAGGAAAAACTGGTTCCACAGGTTATCCGATTTCTTTTACTGATTTGCATGTGCAATATTGGATGAGGGAAAGAGGAACATGGAAAAAAGGAGGGCCATTAAAGCTAAAACAAACTTGAACAATAAGAACACAAGAACCCATCTCACGTCAGCCAAGGCCATCTCCTTCCCACACTGAATACAAACATGACTTCCTCTCTTGCCTATATGTAACTAGCTGCATGGAAAATACTTAAAGACCTGAGTGTGAAATCTTAGTACATTTAGGAAATCAACTTCCAGTATAGCTTTTATATAATCTTGAGGGGACTCTATCTCTATGGACTTTTACTGGCATGGCACCATGTATATCTAGGTGCCTACAGAATCCGGAAGGAACAGAATCCCATTTTTGGAGTGCCCACTACATACCTGGCACACTTTATTAAGGTCAGCACAATGACCTAATAAAGACTGGAGACTAGAGAAACTTTGTAAGCTTGCTTTCACAAATTAACAGAACTTTATGCCTCTGAAATCCTCCACTTACACAGGGGAATTTTCAGTTCCTCCCACATCTGGATCAAAACTCAGTATGATTAATTAGTAAATACAGCTGAAGGCCTCATATCCAGTTTTACAGTTTCTCATTTTAATTAGAAAATATAACTCTTGATCAAAACTCATGTATGACCAAAGCACAGTGCCCTCTATTAGGACATCAGTGGAGGATGATGTGAGTTGGAAAAGTGAGCAAGAAAGCACACCACACCTCCTCTTTACAAAGGATAAGTATGTAATATAAAAGCAATATAAAGTGTCACTATGTAACTGGAAAGGATGCCATGCTCCAAAAAAGAATGAGAATCAAAATTAATTTGCTGGGGTAAAATTTACATTGACCTCAAAATTAATGGTAACACAAAAGTTTAATGTGACAAAGAAAGAGATATAAACAAAAAAAGTTTCTGTATTTTAAA